AAAACCAATCATATGTGAAATAAAAGTGCAATAGAAGGGCAATGGACGATCGGTTGCTACATTGTCTCGGTCATATCTTGGCCAGTAGCACGAGGGGAAAGAACGAAAAATGGAAGAAATATGTAAGAACGAGAACAAAGGCGAAGACTCTTGTAAGAGGCTGAGGCACACATGTAGAGCTGAAGGAGATGATATGGAGATGGAGAGCTGACGAAAGGTACGGTACCCCTACACGGGCGGGTTGGTGGATTATATAGACTGCAGGAGCCTGGTCATCAGAGTGGTATGATAACGAGCCCTTACTCTTAACCATAACGCTTAAGGCCTACAAGCCTATTTGGGTATGCAGGTAAAGAAAAAATATTATCATCTCCCCGGTCTGCCAAGACACGTATAATCGGTGTGTTGTCATTGTCATCTCTTGTCAGCCACCCCTCTCTCGACTCTGCTGCTATTTCGAATGAGCTTCTGGGGACAAGGAGGGGCGGAATTATTTGTTGTAAATAATCCCATCAAACCTAAATATGCGATGAACTTCTTAGTTTCAAGTGGAAACTACTCGGCAGCTACAGGAAGGGGAAGCGGCAGGTGACTTCCTCACGTACGAAATGGACCCCTTCCTTCCTACGAAGGAGATGCAGAGATACTAGGAAGGTGTTTATGTAGACGCTCGAAATATCACTTTCCTCGCCTCTAGATAGCAAGTAGTTTGTTGTCTCCTCACCAACATCATACAAAATATACACTCTGAAGTGCCAGCTTCCCAATCTTCATCATAACACCAATATCATATATTTCAGCGCGTCTTGGACCGCCTGCGCCATGGCTTCCATCCATGCTGGCCTGCCGGTTCCTCGACCAAGTCGCCGACGTGTATCTTTCTCTCCACAAGGCGGCGTATCTCGCATGCCAGGGTACTATAACGAGACTAAACCCCCTTACCCTCCCAGACGTTGGAAGAGGGTGGTTTTACCCAAAGAGCTGCCAAGCCTTCGAGAGGGAAGCACCGAGACTCCCACAGACGAAAAATCAGAGACCTTTCCAACCGATGTCAAGTCCAGCTTAGAACCTCCAACCGATTATGTTTACGATGCCGCGCCTGCTTACCACTTTGCTCCAGCCAGAGTGCACAATCTCTCAGAAAGCACCGTCTCGTATTGCCAAGAAGATGACCTCGTTGAAATGATGAAACATTCCCTTCACTTAGCGACACATGCTACTTCCATCATGTCAAAGGAGGGCACTCCTTCTATTATGTCAAAAGAGGATGTAGCCTCCAAGGTTCGAGATACCTCGTCATCATACGGGTCCAAAGACGAAGATGACCTGGTCCGGGCCAGGTCTCCAGCGTCACCACCAAGCCTGAATACGCTCAATGAAACAAACCTTTCAAGATACAGCGAGGGAAATGACCAGCTCTCGAACCTGCACTCGAGCCCGCGCCCAAACACACCTTGTTCTACTCTACACGACGCTGTTGATGAGGCAGCTGCTACTGCAAATGAGTGGAAGTCAGAGCCTCGTCTAGAAATGCCTGCTGATGATCAGCTTGGCCTAGACAAGGGCGAAGAAGATGAAGAGGTCCTGCCGTCCGATTCTGTCTCCCAATGCCGTGCTCCACCCGACGCTATTCAAAGGTGCCCAAGATGCCAATGCAATAGCCGTGCCACGTTCGAAAGCACCCGTGCAATCAAGAGTCAATTCGACGGAGGCGGTGACGCCGCCGGTTTCGAAAGCCCTCAGTTTGGCACCAAGCTACATCCCATCAACTTTGGGGACAAATTCCAGAGCAAGAAACGAAAGCCTTCAACCATTTCCCTTAAGAGCATCTCGAGCCACATCCCAAAAAAGGCCAAGAAGCTCAAAACCTTTGCCAGTGACATTATTCAAGAAGGCACTATCCGGTTCAACAAGCTTAAATCAAAACTGAAGAAGCAGAATGAACACAGCAGATCAAATTTCGAAGCATGGAAGGCTAATCGCCGGCGGGCACGGCCAGGTGATCCAATCAAAGGGAAACCTCAACCAAGTTTTGCCATGTTCAACCTGGAGAAGAGTGTTCACGGCAACAAGGATGAGTGGTGGAAAGAGGGCGTTTGTCGTTATCGTGCACCGTCATGGATGGTGTTCGGGGCCGGAGCTCAGGCCGCCGTATGATATGGCATAAACCACCAGGTGTCGAGCAAGGGGTAAAAATTGCGGACGTGTTGGGTATTAATACTGGGTGTATCGCATACGATGAATTGGCTGAGTAGACGACATCCACACAAGGTTGGAACTAGACCCCCAAGAAATAATATTTATTCCAATTGCCGAAGATCGGTATTTTACAGATTTATGTGAACGTTCAAAGCATGTAGCGAAACGAGTCTGGCTGTGTTTGCCGCCTCCCATTTCCAACCAAACCCTCCTCCTCTTCGTCAACTAGTTCGGAGCCTCGCTCCTTTTCAAGCCTATCCATTTTCCTGTTCTGATATGACATGTATACTCGAAGAATGATGGCCAATATGGCGACCCCGAGCATGGCCCAGAAGCAGGTGCGCATGCCGTGCGCGTAGTACGGCCCGTCCTTAACCGGATACAGGCGCGTGCCGACCAGGGGCCCGCACTGGCCGATGAGCTGCAGCAAGGCGAAGCCGCCCCCTTGCCGGCTCTGGTTGGCCTGGTTGTTGATGCTCCAGGTGATGATGAGGGTGACGACGTTGAAGAAGCCCGCGGCGGCCGGGTAGACGGCCACGTAGCGGAAGAACGGGGAGAGCTTCATGGGTTCCGCGAGCGCGAGGATGGCGTACCCGGCGGCGGAGGCGGTGGCGTGGAGGACGATGGGGACGGTCCTGGTGCGGAAGCGGTCGGAGAGGTGGGCGGTGACGAGGACGAGGAGGAAGGCGACGAGGTAAGGGGGAGCGCTGAGGGCCTGGGCGGAGAGGTTGTTGAAGCCCATCTCGGTGAGGATCTTGGGGAGGAACACCGGGAGGGAGGAGTAGGCCATGTTGGAGAGGAAGAACATGGCGGCGGAGATCCAGGCGACGGGGTCGCGGAAGACGGCGAGGAGGGCCTGGCCCTGGCTGCCGCCGCTGCCCGGGTCTTCCTTCTGGTCGGGCTTTGCGGGGGTTGGCTTCTCGCCGCGGAGGCGCAGCCTGGCGACTTTGCGCTCGCGTTTTGTGAAGTAGGATACGGTCTGGGGGGAGTCGGGGATGACTCTGAAGGCGATGACGCCGGCTATGACTGAGGGGAAGCCCTCGATGAGGAAGAGGAGTCGCCAGGGGGCGATGGGACTCAGCTCGGCACACTTGACGATGACCCATGCCAGGGAGGAGGCAAAGCTAGTGGCGAGAGGAGCAGCTTTGCAGTTGTCATGTTAGTAAGTGAATTCTGATGAATCCTGGTATAAGCAAGGAGACGTACCAGAGATGAACATGGCGGTGCGGAAGGCAAGCTCGTCCCTTTTGAAAAAGAAGCTCAGATAGAACGGGATTCCAGTGAAGCCCGCCTCGCTGATTCCCAGCACAACCCGGAAGAATATCAAGACGGGATATGAGGGTGCAATATACTGTAATGCTGCGGTCGCGCCCCATGCAATGACGATGCCGCAGACGAACTTGTGAGCCGGTATAAGCCTCCAGAGCAACGCCATCCACTCGAAAGAGATGTAAGAGATGTAAAAAGCTGTAAGAGACCAATCGTACCAATCGTCTCGGGGCGGCTTCGTCTGGAGGTCCTTGTCCATCCCAGCAATCCGAGCGTTTCCAATGTCTATTCAGAAGAGTCAGGTCAAAACCTCAAGGATATCCAAAAAAAAAAAAAAAAAAAAAGGCAGGTGTCAATCTTACTGGAGCGATCGAGAAAGCTTAGCAAGAAAAGCAGCGCGACGAATAAGACGAGCTTGCGATCAAGCTTCCTCCGGACTGCTATCTCCTCGTCCGGCGTGTACAGCTGGAAGCTGGCGACCGAGCTTGTGCTGTTGTTACGCATGTCCGGCCGGGGCGACGTCAGCTCGTTCCCCTCCCAAGGGCGCTCGACGGTGAGGTCCCTCCGCGCTTGGTTCTGCTCTACCATCTGATACACCTCGGCCGCCGAACCGGCATCTCTAACAACCTCGGAGCGCAGGTCGAAGTCGTCCTCCTCCTCGTCTTCGCCTTCGTCGTCTTCCTCATCGCTGTCGTCGAGATCAAGCTCGGCCCCGGTCTGTGCGAATGAGGGGGAGATGTGGCCAGGCCGAAAGCCAGTGCTTCGTGTCGGGGTCGCGAGATATCCAGGGCTGCCGATTTCGCTGTCGTCGAGACTGAATTCGGCCCCCGTCTGGGCAAAGGACTCGCCTGGCTCCTGGCCCGAAGACGGGGTAAGATAGTTTTGGTTATAGCCAGCCATGGCGTCCGTCTAAGAGGAGCCGGAGCTAGTCTGTCATCGGGAGCGCGATAGCCTGGCGACAGACCTTTATCGTGCTCAGAAGACGGGTGCCCCTTGACGTAGTCTGATCGACCAATTGTGGTGGTGAATAGTGGCAGCTTACTACAGGCGCTGTTAGTTAAGGATGACGGTGACCCGAAACCACAGCTGGCGGCACAGTTCAACATTCACGTGACGCATTGATATCCTCCAATCCTTCAACCCCCTGGGGATTATTCCAATTGCATTTACCAGGATTCAAAATATTTATCAAATTGATGCTACAATTATTACGGGGAGATCCAAATGTGCGTGGACAATGCAGGTAACCAGCGCCCGTTGCTGGTTCCAGCTGGCCAAGAGAGCTTGTTTAGGCCACTTTGAATCGAGCACACTTGCTAGGCCCTACCTACTTTCTGTAATAAGTAGGTAGGTAGTTTGTAGTCTCAATTAATCTCTCAAAACTCTTACTTATTCATCTCATTCAAGGCAGAGGGAATTGCTTTGCTATTGTGTGTGTTTTCTATCATGTCTATCTAAAGAAGCACCTGTATATGTAGCTGTCTATAAGTCTAAGTTAGCGGGGTCAAGGCAAGTATCTGCATACTTCACAGTCATTTTCGAAGTACAATCTCTTTCAGCCGTTTCATCCTCGACGGTGGCCTCTTCATATCCTGCTGCTTCCCCAACTCATCTATGCTGTCGTCATTCGTGGCAGTCTCTCCCGGCTCTATTTTCTCATCAGACTCATCAACGTGCGACTGGCCGGGCATGTGCCCAGCCATTCTCATCCGGCGTTCCGCCTCGACAATATCATCCTCGACCCCGTTCACTACAACAAACCATCCAATCTCCTCATCCTTCTCCAATGCGTCTCTCAGTTTCTCAAACCAAGAGTTGCCGCCTCTCTCACTAGCTATCCGCTCATAGCGAGCAATCTCCTCCGTCACATCAGCGCTGAGCTCCACCCGGACAGCATAGTCGGCGACATATGCATATGGCCGGCACGGCTCCACGGTCTCCCGGGGGTCATATTCCTCCAGGAGCTTCACGGCAGACCACTCATCGTTTATCAGTACGGGGTCTTGGTCGAGGCGTACGGTGCGGTTATCGTCGTCGCCCTCGCTCTCATCCCCATTGCTCTCATCTGTGGGACCCTCAGGATCCCCTACAGGCGGCTCGGAGAGATTTCTAGAGGAAGGCGGCCGGGGCAGAAACTCATATCTCTCGTAGAAGTGCTCCAGTATTGCCGCCGACGAGCCCCGGCCGACGATCCAGTCCGGCGCCGCGTCGAGCACGTCGTAGATGATGACAAAGAAGCGGATGCTTCGGCGATGCCACCGGAAGCCGTGACACAGGTAAGTGGGCATTTTGATATAGAATGCAATGATGAAGCTTGAGAAACGGTTTATAAATACGCTGACGCTATAACTCCTAATGCGATGCAATGGACATGTGAATATTTACTACGAATTAAAGAGGCAAGTACCTCTGCGTATATATATGAGCGTGTTCAAATCATGTAGATCGTGATCGAGAAACATAAACTTGAATCGGTGATTGAAATAAAGCAACCACGAGGTAAATACCTGCCTGATAATCATGACCGAGCTTCCTAAGGAAGGATCTTAGAACCTTGGTCATGGTACACGAAAAGACTGGAAGGCGCTTGTTCATGACAAATTCGAACTAAGAGAATCAAAGTGAGATGGGTGAGTGTGGTGTTTTGGGCAAGAATAATCATTACAAATAAAACGTAAGGTGACCCCAAATTCGGGATCCCCATCTGTTAGCCACTGCCAGTTTCGGATGGATGGAGTCTGACCCAAGATCAACCCGTTTATTTGGTAATCTTAAGTAATACTAACTACCGACCTAATAATGCACCCATCCTTTCAAAACTCCGTCATAGGTATTATCCATACATCCAAACGTATTGAGTGGAATATCATAACCAATGCTGCATACTGCACATCTCGCGTCTTTTTTTGCCCTGCCCAAGAAACAGATAATTAAATCGAGGTCTGATATAAGCTCTCAACCTCACCAAATCCCATATTCTAGATGCACGCTCGTCGAATAGCAAGTTGTGGCTATGTGCACTCCACCCATGCCAAAACCACCTTTTTTGTGTGTATACATGACATCCTCTTGGATATCATACAACGGACCCTAGTCGTTGAAACCGGCCAGGGACACTCCGCCATCTGACTCTACCGCCCCGTCATACTGCCCGGTGCCGAAATCAAAGTCCATATCCTGGAGCATGTACTCGAGATCCTCATCCGAGATATTGACATCCATATTCTTCGGCAGGCACGACGTCTCGGGCTCCGCTAGCTCGACGCCGGGGCATTTCTGCATTATCCATTCCTGGAATTTCGCCAAAAGCACCGGATCATCCACCGGTGTCGTGTTAGTCCCCATGACCTGTCGGGCGTAGCGTCTCAAGCTGTCCCCGGAGGGTAATCGGCCGGTATCAACAACAAATTTCCTTGTAAACTCGAGCAATCGCCGCTCCAGCTCGCGAGAACAGAAGATGGCGGCAGGTCGCTGATCTCTAGATGTGAGATTCTCCAGGAAACCGTTGGCGCCCGATTGGCCTGCAGAGAACGGTTTGGTCCCAGCCCTCATGCTGATTTGCACGTCGCCGCTAAACGGCTCGAGCTGGCTCTTGGGGAACGTGTAAGGGGGAGCGAAACCAGAGCCTCCCTGCTCGACAGCCCAGGCAGAGCATTCTGGGAGACCCGGGCCAGCATCATTAATGATTCCAACGTCGCGCTTGAACCGCTGCAGCCACTCGGCGTTGTCTGCTGCTGTTTGGTTCCAAGGATCATCACTACATCAAGTTAGTCCATCGTGTTTGGTAAGTCTAGAATAATGATTTAGGCTTACGTTTCATAAATAACATAACGAGCTTGGTGTTTCAACTCCTCGTCGGATGGAACGTGCTGGTTTGGATTATTGGGAGACATAGTAGCCGCAACCCACCGTCCCAGTTCCTTTGACAATCGACGATAGCAGTTTGCGTCGTTGAGGAAGAACGGGGTCAGCTTGAGAAGATTTCCGTTCGCATCGAGAGCTTTGGGCGCAGCTCTCACGGCATCTGGGGAATGTAGTGTGATGGGGGTATCCGTGGTGGTCGATGGGTGCGTCTTCGTCAGAGAGAGTCCTGGTGAAGTTTCCGTGATCGCGGGGCTCAAGTCGTGGAGATGGCGCTCCTTGAAAGCTCTCAACCACGAAGCGTTGTCCGCAGCGGTTTGGTTCCATCCGTCGTCGAATTCGTATATGATGATACGGGCTTGTCGCTGGAGGTCTTCATCCGTGGGTTCCAACCCCAGAGCACGCTGGTCCCGGAGGAAGTCGCGCAACTCGCTTTCCAACCTTGTATAACTATGGATGGTAGAATCGATAACGGTTGGGTCGTTCGATCGGCACGTATCGTTCTTCACATCTTCGGTCCTCGGCAGGTGTGCTCGGCGTCGAAAATCGGCTAGCCAGTGGGTTGAAGACCGGATGAGTCGAAGCAGCCAGTTTGCAACGATGTCTGAAGGATGGACGGACACTTCCTCGACCCGACCAACAATTCTGCAGGCCTCCTGCTGCAACTCATAGTCCATAGCAGTTAGGCCCAGCAGGCGCTTGGCCCTGACGAACTCTTGAAGTTGGAATTCCAGGGGGCACAACTCGAACAGGTTGTCCTTGCCGTTAATTTTGAGTGTAGCCAGTCTGTTTTCCGTAGCACCACGAAGGGGTCCAAAACGAGCTTTGAGGGCCAACTCCTCCATCTTCATGATGACATCACGAAGCCAGGAGACCTCTGATGCGATTCCCTGAAGAGACAACAATTCGCTAGCGTAAATGATACGACATCCTTCGACCATGAGCTCCTCGTCGGTAGGGTGGGTTCCGTTCTGCTCCAAATAGTTGGCCGTGAAGTATTCCAGTTCGAGTTTAATCAGTTCGTAGGCATTACGAGGTGACTGCGGCGAGGGCTGGCTTGCTACGTAAGGCAAGGGGGAATTCCTTTCATGATGAATCAGGTCTATATTCTCAGGTGTTAGAAGTGTCCAGCTGATCTATGGGGTATTGTAAAGGTCGCATACAAGGAGGAACAGAGTTCTCGACCATATCGAGCACTGAGCTGTCAAAACCCCAGTCTCCCTTCCAGTCAGCCATGGAATAACCTGTCTTGAAATGCTCTGCCAAATGATCAACACGTATTGTCCAAGTGTCCATCACAATGCCACAGAAACCGCAGCGTGACCTGATCTCCGGAGCCGCAACCTTCCAAGATTTCATAGACCAGTCTGCAAACTTAACATTGTGAACCAAACGAAGATGCTGGTTCAAATGATCTTTCCTGTAGAAAGTCCGCTCGGCTGCCGACTTCTCCTGGCACGTCGAGTGGTTGTGGCTTTCGATGTGCGATTCATCTGGATCAACTATGCCGCAGTATACGCAGCTCAGGAGCCCAGTTTCGGGGTTTACAGCTCGTGTACCATGTGGAGCGCACACCCACCGCTCAAGAGACAGATGGAGAGATTTTTCATGCCGTTGCCAATCATGTTTAGTTCGGAACGTCTCAGTACAGAAAGTACACTGGAAGGTTCGAGGGGCAGACTTGATTCCCTTGCCACTTTCCTCTTGGCTCTGATTTGGTGTGGGCCTTCGGCGACGTCGGCGACGGCCATGGTTGCTGAAACGGGCAGATCCAAATGAATTGCGAGATGCATAAGAGTAGGCGGATCCCCGTGAGCCATTGCTAGATTGCGAGGTGCCCAAACTGCTAACCGAGGACTGGTTGCAGAGTGATCGACTGGATCCATCATCTGTATAATTAACGGTGCTGAAGGGACTGTTCAGTCCAGACGAGAGCCCAGACGATGAAGCCGTCACGGCCCGTGCAATGGCAGTCACTGAGGCCGGTTCGTTTTCGGGGGGAGAGTGCTCCCAACGTTGAAGGGGATTCATGGTTTCCAATGCGGGTGTTCCGCGTCGTTTTGGAATATCGATGGAACCGATGCCGCTAGACGACCAGTTACCAACCTGTGGCGAAGTAGACCGAGGGGGTTGGACTTTGCCACGGCGTCGAGCATTTGCCAACCAATTGGTGATTTGGGTTTTGCTCAACCCTGTGTTCCTTTGCAGCATTTCTTTCTCCTCGTCACTAGGATAAGGATGTCTGTTATGGGTCGTCAACCAGGTTTTCAGAATACGAACTGACTCCCTCGAGAAACGGGCACCTATTTTAGCTGGAGGGGCCTGAGGCCTGGGCGCAACGAGTACAGGTCCATCGGACACGGCATTAGTAATGTTTAGAAGGTCTGCTGTCGCTGTAGTATCGCGATTGTACATGGCAGTTTCGTCCAAGATTGCACTTAGGTCGCTGTCCAGGCCCGTCATTGAAGCCGTTGGGACCGATACAGCTTTCGGGTTCAGGTTGGCAGGCACTTCGCCCCCAAAGCTGCACTCGAGGGTCAAGGCTACGCAGCTGGTGCAGTAGCCTTTGTACCGACCCTCTCTTATTTTCTTGCAAGAGTACCCTCCCAGAGAACATTGGGAGCAGGGGACGGCAGGTGTCTCCCAGAAGTAAGCATGAACCACTTGTTCTTCAGTGGCATCCGGCACAGGGGCCGGGATGTCCATACCATTGGCGGCCATGTGTTGGTCAGTGAAGTGTTGAAGGGCGTTGAAGCTGAAGTCATCCTCATTGATGTTCTCAAAGACGAGGTCGGTATCCATCCCAGCAAAGGCGGCGTCGACGTCCTGAAGGGCGAACTGATTGTCGTCTTCCATGACCAGCTCAGGGTTGTCCCAGTTGACAAACTTGTCCATGTCATCCATGGTAGCCATGATGGCACAAGAGCGCGGGGAGTTGCGGACCGAAACGGGTCTCAAGGGCGTGCGGACAACCAGAGGTCAATTGAAAGGCGCAGAGGACATTGACAACTGTCAAACACCCCTTTAAGAACCGACAAGTGCGTCAACGGGTCCTATTAACCACACCTTGGATCGAAAAGGCTCCGTGTACCGGGACCCGCGTGACTGTGTATGATTGAGGTTATAGAAGGCTCGCATCCACCCACTTGCTTGATTGAGCCAGAAGATAATCAAGAAGAAATGGGAGTCACCAGAACGCTAGCCTCCGGGGACGGTCTGGGAGTTTTGTTCTCCAAGCCAGAAAATCTGTCCTTCTTCTCGATTCTGTGTCCAAGTGCGAGCCAGATCTCCATTGCGCAGCCGGCAGCGGTTTGCACCCGGCCGCTTTCCAGTCATCAACGCTGACTCTTGGGCCCCACCCATGTCTACGCCCTGCGGACGACAGCCCGCATGTCGATACGGTATGATCAATACTGTGTTCCGGGGCGAGATCTGGTGAGGGGCACAGTGTTTGAGGCTGACCACCTCCACTCTTGTTCCTTTCTGCCAGGCCCCACAAATATTGCCAAAGGGCGTGGGATGTCATGTACATGCAAATAGCCTCGCGTGCTATGCAAAACGCTAACCCGGTGGCCTAGCAGAAGTACCGTCGCGTCTGCCTGCCGGTCCACAATTGATCGTTTCCTCTCCGGTGGAGTGACGCTACTCCAACACCCATCTTTTGGTTGCACGAGACCCCACCCACCGAAAACCGGCAGTGCCTTCACGGTTCTCCCACCTCGGAGGTAGTACTAATACGCCGACCTGGGCACCCTCGCGGGCTGATCCCCTTCACCGCCATGCCGCTCGTCGCACTCTCAGTGGGCAGTTATCGTCGTGATTATTATCAATCTCCCAGCGTCATAGAGGGAGGGGTCAGAGCCAGCATTGTGCCCCTCTCGCCAACTAGACTTTGATCAATTCGGCAGTACCAGCCGAGGCTGAGAAGTGAGGTGTGGCTGGGCTTGTGGCTGACTCTGAACCAACGAGAAGTTTCTCGAATTGGCATTGAGGCTAAGCCTTTTTGCACCACTTCAGCCAACAAGCCCGCTGACTTGGTCTGTATTATGCGCCATGTTGAAAGGAGAACCAAACTGTGATTCAAGCTAGGCGTACCCAAAACTTACAAAGGGCCTTTTTTCTTCTTTTTCTTTTACATCAGTTGTTGACTAAGTTTTCAGTTGATGGTTCCACTCTTTTTGTCTGAAGTACTTGTACATACCTGCAACTCCCAGCATATACACTCTGGATACATATGAATGCAAAAGTTCAATGAGCAACAGCGTCGAACAAATATATTTTGTTGATTCATGTCAAGCTGCTGGTCTCTACACCATGCAGTGATCTAAAATATCATTACCCCATAGAACATACTCATAACACATCAAGTTCCCAAATCCATAATAATGCAATCCACTCATCAAGACCATATCTCTTGGGGCTGTCAGTAACCCATCGACGCCATACAAGGAAGAAGGAAAATGTTAGAAAAAGAAAGTCGGCTAAAGAAAAAGAAAGGAGAAGAGGACCCTGTAGACTTTTATCTCGGCCCGTGACTTTTGCGTAGTGAAGTTAAGGCCAGCTAAAACTGACAGTAACCAGAGTAAGCAAGATATCAAATCCGTGTAATATTTGCGCCGTTGTTCGCCGGTCCTCGATATACCCCAGGTGAAAAGAATTCTAGCCCAGAAAACTCCTTACTCGACCCCAAAGGGTCATAGATCGTGTGATTAAGTTTGCCATAAGATCATTGACTTCCCGTTCTTTTGTTTTTCCATCATTCGTGTCCCAAGGCCATTAGCTCACGCTCCTTGGCCGCCAACATCTCTCGCATTTGTTCGGCTTCTCGTTGCAAAGCTGCTCGGCGGTCAGCTTTAGAATTTTCAATCTCGTCATGAATATCTGAATGTGTTGGTGTACCGTCTCTTGTCGAAAATATGCTGGGGCTAGGCTGTGGAGTAAGCTTCGGTCCAGGCGATCGGAGCGGGGGTAACGAGTAATCGTTTCGGTCATCGTGGCCAGGTCCGGGATTCAAAATCGATTTGATAGAAGAGAGTCGTTTCGGATTGTCCACCTCTCCATCATCCTGGTATTTACTTTCCACCTCCGCAGATGAAAAGGAACGTTTCCTCGCCGAGGGTAGAAAGGATGCCGGCGATACCGAGGCTCGCCTATCAACAACCGTATGCATTGATGCCAGTGGCGGTAGCCGGTTATCGTCGTTGAATATTTGGGGAGATTGCCGGGGGCGGAGTGATTGTTGATGATACGAAGCCAGATCCGAAGCAGTTGACATAGGAGACGGCTGCCGGCTCGAATGAATAGCAGGTCGAGGTTCAATAGCCACGGGCAGACTAGCAGGTCTACGCATTCCGAGATTGATGGAGCCATCGTCGTTTATCGTACCTCGCTCGGGTGTTTTCTCATAGCGATGACCGTCACTCGATTCCGTCATATCATCCATTTCCTCATCCTGGCTTGCTGGAATAACTCTCTTTCTGCGCTTAATGGTAGCTTTCTTCATTGTAACTGGACGATGGACGCCATGTAGTTTATAGTAGAGGCCTGCCAAAAGGTTAACCAAGTCAAAAACGAAGGACTTTCAAGATACAAACCACAAGCATTGCAGATCGTGTGTCCGCCTTCGTCTCGCCTCCATAAGGGTGTCACAGTGGTACCACAATTCTGGCAGGCAATGACAACTGTGGTGTCAGGATTTTGGGCTTGGTTTTGCGACTGGCCTTGTGACTGTGCTTGCGACTGAGTCTGCAAAGCATTCACATCAATCGGTTGCGGAGTGTTTGAAGCACCTTGATCACGTCCTCCACACCCCCCGGATCTTTGTTTAACGGTCAGATTGGCGCTCTTTGAAAGTCTGTTGTTGAAGGCTGGGCAGCCATGGCAGCCTTCGGCTCCACCAGTTCCATTACAACGGCCACCACCGGGGCATGTCCCAGTCGGAGTCTGTTCGGCAGTCACGTAGGTGGCACCGGGCACGCCCTGACCTGCCTTCGGTGCAGGGGCAATAGATGTAGGCTGCGATGACGGGCGAGGGGTCGATTCTTGTATGACGCTTGGTGGCTTCTTCAATCCAGTGGGCCGGGCGGCATTCCGTGCCTTCAAGTATAAGCCACAGGCATTACAGATCGTTGCGCCCTGGGGGGATCTTCTCCAAAGAGGCGTCCGTGTGGTTCCACAATTGCTTTTGATACGTGAGCTGGGAGTCTTGATCCAATTTCAAATATCGGTAACTAACCTGCAGACTTGACCGCCATGAGAGCTAGACACGGCGGGAGGGCTTGCTTTGGGGGCAAGGGTTGCAGACGGTGTATTCGGGCTATGCGATTGGTACGAGGAGACATCAAGCATCGAAACGTCTTGAGACGAAGGCGAGACACTGGTAGATTTCGTTTGGTTCGTACGATCGGAGGGGCCGCCCACGAAATGAGCCGTCGGGGTCGACGACATCGGGCGAGATGGCAAGGCGGTCCGGATAGCCCCTGGCTCTCGATGTTGGTTCAGAGGATTCCTCGAGTGAGGATTGTTGTCGCCCATGGCGGGTCGGCTTAGATGCAGGGTGTTTGAGAAAGAGTTTGCTATGTTGGAGGCAAGGTTTCCGGGAGTAGTGGCGCAGGCAGCGGCAGACAGAGTTCCGGGCAGTAGGGAGGACATTAACCTGCACAGCCAGCTAGCGAGCCTGGCGCACTCGGTCCGAGCAGTTATCCAAGTCGGCTGGGATTGGCAACACCGGGTTGAACAATATTGATTATTGGGTAGTCGTAATTAAACCCTAGGAGCCGGCCTCGTGGTCGCAAAACACGTGGATTGAAGGAGATATCGGACACCGTCTGGTACTTGAATTGTCAGCTGACTTCGAAACAAGGCGATGGCGTAACGGCCCTGGGAGCCATGCAAAAGTCGTAGATCTACTCCGATCGCCACATCCGATCAAGAGAAGTCCTTTGTTTTTATATGTAGCATCCAGGTACCCAAAGCCAAGTCAACGCCACGCAGGAGGTCCTGTGCCTAACAAAATGTACACACTTACGAAAGGGAGAGGGGAAAGACTGGGATCATCCAGCCCTGCAGATAAGCCAATGTGTTGCAACCCAGGGCGAAACGGCTCAGCCCAATGCAATGGCCAGAATATTCCTTGGCTACCACCAACTTCTAAAAAATCCAAGCACACCTTAGCTGCGTCCGGGATCGCGGATTCAAGTATTCTCCATCCCAACAGGAGCAGAGGAGTGTCACAGTCGCAGCAACTCGGAAACCGACGCAAGGCGTAACCAATGAGCGGTCAAGCTGGAATGCCAATGATTACCTTTCGCAAGTCTCCGATTGGACAGACACCTCTAATCTCTGTCGATGCTATTGCAAATACTCCACCTGGACATCGCGGCTTTGCTAGGGTGTGGCAATATGTCACCCGGTTGGGTGTGGATATGCGCTAGTCAGATTGCGTGCCAGATCTAGAACCACTTACCTAAGCAAATCGCGTATGTGCCTGGTTTAGATTTCAACGATTGCCGACATCATCGCGACCCAACGCTCCGGTGCTTTTCAACATGACGACTGGATCTGAGAGTCCCAAACGTGAGCCTACTCCGACCACCTCACTCTCTTCAGTTCCCCAGAAGCGGCTTCTCGATGAAGGCCACAGTCCTGCTGTGCCCTCGCCTCTCAACCCCGATGTGAACCCCACCGAATCTCATTTGACCGACGACGCGCCGCCGTCGAGTCGCGCCAAGTCGGTCAGAGCGAAGAAAGACACCCTCAAGAAGCGAGAGGCCAAGGGCGGTGATGGAGACCGTGCGACGCCGGATCCAAAACGTCCCAAGGAACAGAAGCTCGAAGGAGGCCCCCTCCGGTACAAACTTGCGCCACCCAAGACATCCGATTTTGAAGCCCCTCGCCCCCGCGTGTTGGCCTATCATCATGAAGTCAAGACTTCCAATGGCGAGACTATACAGTTCTTTGAGACCGCAGACCAGTAAGCCAGATCCGAAACACGTCTTCTCGGGGTTCCGGTGGACGTGCGCGATTACTGACCGATCAAAGTGTCTTCAACAAAAAGAATTTCCGTTACACCCATTGCATTGCAGATCCTCTATTCCCGTCAACGGTATACTATCGCCAGACTGAAGTCGAACCCTTTGGGCCTCGTATGAGTTATGAAGACGCTGCTGGCCACGTCTTTTTCGATAAATCGGCGCGACACGTCACCACAGACAAAGGCTTCCGCATGGTACGAGGGAATGTTGCGGTTCGAGAAGGCAGGTCGTACTGGGAGTGCAAGATCACGCAAGGAATCCGCAAGGCGAATGATGATGGCTCAAAGCCGGAGGGCGGGCGACATGTTCGAATGGGCTGGGCCCGACGAGAAGCGTCTCTCGATGCCCCCGTGGGGTTTGATGCTTATAGCTACGGCATCCGTGATGTCGCTGGGGAGAAGGTGTTCATGTCGCGGCCCAAGCCATTCTTCCCTCCCGGCGAAACCATTCAGGAAGGCGACGTTATCGGCCTTGAGATACGTTTACCATCTGAGAGACTCCATCGGAAGGTCATGGCTGGTACATATAATCCTGCGATCGATCTTATCGAAGAGGCCCAGGATATGCCTATAACCGCTGAAGCAGCGAATATCGTCCGAGACCGAGTTCCAATTCGATTCAAGGCACACACATACTTTGAAAAGATCGAGTACCACTCGACCAAGGAGCTCGAAGACCTCATGAACCCCTCCCCAGTCGGGTCTGGTTCGTCAACATCTGAGCCGCCAAACCCTCTCCATAGGACGCCAGCTCTACGCACACTACCAAACTCCTCGATCAAGATTTACAAGAATGGTGTATTGATGGGTACTCCATTTGAGGATCTCCTCGGCTTCCTACCACCAGCGTCAAAGCCGTTGATGCCCCAGGTCGGCGCAAGAGAAGGATTTGATGACGGCATGCTGGGATACTACCCAGCTATAAGCATCTTCAGAGGTGGTGCGGCCGAGGTTAACTTCGGACCTGATTTCTGGTACCCTCCGCCAGACTATCCACCCCCTGCCACAGAGAATGCGGACGCCGCCACCCCTACTCCGACACGAGTTGAAACGATGCATGCAGTTTCCGAGCGGTACCGGGACCAGATTGCGGAAGACGTCGTGTTCGATATCATCGATGAGGTGGATGTGTGGATGCAGGACATTCTGGATTCTCCAGACAGTTCATCGGATGACGAGAGGAACTACAAAACTAAGCGGGGCCGAGGGACCGAGATTAAGGAATTGGTTCAAGAAGATTAATGTAGAAGACTAGACCTCGGTCGAGCTCAAGATACCCCTGAGAGAAGAAGGAACAAAATAATATGAAATTAATTCCAGTAGTTTTCATTCGAAAACAAGCAATCAAATTCTATGGACACTATCTGCCAGACTCCGGGACAACAAAACAGGAATTTCTCTGGTTGGTCATGACTTCGGAGGTAATCGCATTCCCAAAGGCCCTGGGGACTGTAGTTCAAGAACGGGAAGAGGGGAAGGGTATGCTAGACATCAGACATTATTTCAATATAACCCTCATCAATACGTAACTTTCGTCAATACTTGAAGGCATTGGCCTCATTGTAATTTTATACCCCACCTAGGCGTGGGATGGGCCATTTGGCCGCGACGCTTCAGCGGTTCTGGTGCCTGATCCGGTTGCGGAGTCTGCGACCAGAGGCTCGGTTCGAGGAGCCGGTGCTGGAAGCTGGGGGTCGTCTGGGAGCTCCTCGATGCGGTCTGCACCATCAACAACTCCCTGGGCCTCCTTCTCCAGGCGGACCTCCTTGCCACGCTTGTAGCAGTACCACAGAACGAACATCAGTACTGCCATACTGTTAGCTTCACCCAAAAACATGAGAATTCAAAGGAAGGAACTTACGAAACAAGGCGACACTCCAAATAACATTGACACCGATGAATGCCGGCCAACGCGCCTGTAAGGTTGAGACGATAGCCCTGAGCATGCTCACTAGGGCACCTGGCTTCGTGACAAGTTCCAAGAGGTTCTTTGGCACGAAGAGGTTCGATGCGGCCTCCTTGATACCGCCCTCCATGGAAGCCTCAAGCCCTTGGCTCTTGGCCGCTGCGGCCAGGATCTCTGGCGCGATGCTACCTGTGACTTTCTCAGGCAGCTGCATCACAAGCTTCTGGAGCCCGGAGGGCAATTTCTCGAAGCACTTTGAGATGGTGCCGTCACGGTCGGTGAAGAGTTTGACGAGGTCATCGTAGGCAGTCGGCACACCGTTCGCGAGATCCTTGAAGACCTGTGTGAATTTGGCCAAGAGCTCCTCGGAGTCATTGGAGAGGTTGATGACCTTGTTGTTCTTTGCCGACAGATTCAGACGGTCGAGAACATTGTTCAGGTCTCGCTTCTCTTTCTGCAACTCCCCTTCTGACAAGGATGCGGCATTGGCATCCTCGGGCTTCAGATGGGAACCATGCTTTGACCTCTTTGAGAATAAACGGGATAGGCGATTTGGTTTCTTTTCCTCCTCAACGGATTTGCCCTTGCCGTCGCTGCCTGCCTTGCCGTTCTGGCCATCCTGACTTGCTCTGTCCCTGTTCATTGACGATGCGTCATCCGACGGCCAGTCAATCTCAGGAACGGGCACCCGAGGTGGCAGCGGGGGCGCAGGACCATCTTCGGACCCATCGTCAGACAATAAGCTTCTCAGGAATGCTTCGTCGGAACGGTCAAGAATCGGGTCCCCGGGAGCTGGTTGGGAGTGAGAGCTCCCAGATGCTTCCGGAGCATGGGATTCCTTCTGCTTGCCGGCCCCACCTGGGCCACTCTCTTGGCCGTGTTGGGCCTTCTTCTCCTCCCTGACCTTCTTGATCTTTCGAATTGTGAAATACTCCAACATCTCGGGTACGTTCTGAGGTGGATTGATATACCACGTTGGGAGCAAGTGAGTAAAGAAAAGAAAGAAAACAGAGAGTGACAATGCTTCACAAAGAGCCAAGGCGAGCTCCGCTTCCTGGATAGTTATACGGACCACGCACTATGAGTCCCTTGCACAAGCCAGACACAGATGGCAAATCATGTGCTTGGGGACCAACAAGCGCCGCGCTCGCTGCACCGCCACCCGAGGTGATGTCATTCAGCCACCATCCAATCCCACCAAACGCCCACACTCCATCCAGCACGTTTTACGCTGAAGCGATGATGCCCATACAGTATGCACGTGAACACACCTGGTGAAACAGCTAGAGAATCCAGGATAATGCGGTATCATCTATTGGTCGTCCCTTCATGACTCATTACATTATTTTGATGCCTTAATACTTGGGTATCTTGCAGCCTAGTGGCGTCTTCTTGTGAGCAAGTTCTATTCGTCCTCGTCCTCCTCATGTGCTTGGTGCATGGCAGAGCTTCGTCGGCCCTGTGTGCTTTTCGCGGGCCGCCGCCGCCCTCGAGCATAAGCGTCCGTCTGTGTCACCGCCCGCTCGCCAACATACCTTGTTCCATCAAACGGCGTGGAACACTTGGGGCATGTTTGACCACCATGGATCCGCCAGAAGTTCTCCCCACAATGCTCATGTAGCCGTAACAGACAGCCGGGTTCGTTGCATCTCAATCCAACTGTGAGTAATTCCTTGCACGCCTCACAAAATTTGATTCGTTGCCAATCGCCGCCGTCGTCGTTGTATGTTTCGATCAGCCAAGGTCGCAGCTCCAGTAGACCACGAGGGGTGAGGCTGTAGAATCCCTCGTTGCTTCGCTCCAGCCACCCCCCAAGGACAAGATTGGAGAGAGTCGTCTCGACCTCGCTGTGTTTCAATCCCTTGTCGACCGATGTCTGTGTCGCCTCTGGCGCATCGTCCGAGTTCTGATTCCGATTTGGCGGCCGGGCGACCTTCATCGCCTGCATCTGTGTGATCGCCATGATTTCCATTCGCGGTGAATTGTATGTTTCGAACATTGCATCAAACAGGCGCTTTATGAACGAGAGCTCGTCGGGAGCAAAGGTCGTAGCAAGCTGGGTCTGGGGATCGGATCGTGTGTTGACGAAAGCATAGACTCGGTCTCTGGTGACTTGGTGAATGGTGGTTCGGATTTCATAATCGTATATTGAGGCAGCTTCAGATGCTTTCGAAAGGTAGTCCTCAAAATCGTCTTCGGTGACTTCATGCCGCCCATCCCGTCCCTCTGCCTCCCAGATTCCCGCGATGATTGGGCATGCTTCGTCAAAGGTCAGGGCTCCCCGAGCCATAATGGCTTGCAGGAAGGCGCGATTGCCATTGTCGTATCCCGAACTGAGAAGTGTCTCCATCTCGGTCTCTTCGCATAGAGAACAATTCGCTAGCAAATTTCTTCTGCCACCTACAACTATTTTGCAGGACCATCGCGAGCGCGTCTGCTTAGCTTTCGCGTTAATGAGTTGAGCTAAAACTGGAACCCCACACATTAACTGCTGACTCATCTCGTGACCTCGCGTTTCCAGACAAAGCACTTTTCCCCTTGAAACCACCTACAAGGCAATGCAAGCTTGCGCATGGCCCCGGGTCGGAGCTAAACAGGTCTGTGGGCTTCAAGCTGCATGGTGATAGATGAATGCGTCGTTACTTCTCTATAAAAGAAAGAGGAGGCTTGCTTGATACCTCAAGAGGTTGCTCTTGCCCAACCAATAACCTGTTCAGATCTCCACCCAACATATTCACCATTTGCCAATATCCAGCGAGAGAAGGACGTCATCTGGACTGATCCATTGGCAATCGAGACAACAAAATTCAAGCATTGCTTGACAACACGTTGATTCATGGTCGCTTACTCGGGGGCATATTTTAATCTTAATTAAACCAGGGCTTCTATCTGTCGAAGCCATGACTGATACTAAAGACTTTGACGTTATCCGCGTCTGTCGATCCGATGGGGTGGACACTGGCCCCGGATATTGGCCAGTTACCACACCAGCAGCGAATTCGATAAAGAAAACGGCAGCAGACAAAGCACCAAGAGCAAAACCACAGATGACAAGACTTGCTGAAGATGATCCAAGATTCACAGAATGGCGAGTGAAGTTAGGTATTCTACTCAAGCAAGAGTTATCCCAGAGTCCAGACGGTACGTCTCCCTTTGACAGCTCAGGTAGTTTCAATTGTTGATTGATTTCTTCTAGATGGTGTCTCCTGGTATGTGCCATTCCCGAAGGGATACTGGCTCTATGAAAAGTCTAAGCATCTTTGGGTTTCCGGATATCCAATCAAGGCGAAGCTCTTCAAGACGCCGCAGGAGTTTGCGCTACATTTGATATGGCTACTATCGGCATCAATGGATTATAAGGACTGTTGCTGTGTTCATTGCAACGTTCCTAGTCTCCCAAAGCAGACTCCTACATCTGACGAGGGTTTCGCTCACATGCCTCACGAATCACCCGTTAAACAAGAACATATTCCTCATAAAGTCACCCCAATTCCTGTCCCAACAGTTGTTGGTCAACCAATACCAACAAAGTCAGCGTCACCAGCGCAAAGACCACAGGCCACACACATCCCACCGCCTTCTATTCCTACCCCGTCGGTTATCACGCCCCCGACTGCAACGCCTGTCCCACCTCCCCAAATACCTATGTCTTCTATACCGCCACAGATGACACAACCAGCACCCAAGGCCCAGCCACCTCAAACTCCAGTCCAACCACCTCAGGTTCAGCAACACCAAATCAAGCAGACTCCGGTTCACCCACCTCCGATCCCACAACCTCAGGCCCAACCAACTCAAGTCCAGCAACAACCTCAGGTTCAGCAACAACCTCAGGTCCAACAGCAACCTCAGGTCCAGCAGCAACCTATGGTCTGGCCTCTGAAATCATCTCTATTATTCCGCGTTGGTGAGCTCGTTTGGTATCAGAACGGACAAACTTGGCGTCTGGGAATTATCGGAGCCTTCAACAACACGCACGGCTTCGAACTTCTAGCCATCGGCCATAGGCTAGTCGCTCAGCAAAATGTCTTCAAAACCGCAAACGACATGCGCCCATTCCACGCATTCAGTGTACCAGGCGTCACAATTCAGGATCTCAAGAGCAAGAACTATGATGATGTTCCCTGGGAAGCCATGTTTGCTGCCTATCAGAGTGACGCAAACAGGCGGGATCTACTAATCCTCGATGCTTCAAAGATGGCCGCGTCGAAAATAGACTACTCCTTCTCACTCTGGTCGCCCATATCGGAAGATCCCTCGACCAAGACCCCAGTGTACTACGGTTGCTTCTTCGGAGCCGAGCGCATCGAGATTGGAGATGCCCTGCGGCTCAAGG